GATCTTTTCTAGGACTAGTAGGATACTATCGCCAATTTATTTGCAACTTCTCTGCAATTGCAAAACCTCTAAACCAACTTCTTCAGAAAGATGAACCTTACAAGTGGACCGAAGCCCAACAAGATTCTTTTAATGAGTTAAAGCAAAGACTTGTTAGTGCCCCTATTCTTAGCTATCCGGACTTCAAGAAGATATTTATTCTAGCAACCGATGCTTCTTACTATGGATTTGGAGCTACCCTTAGTCAATTCGATAACCGTAATAAGGAACACCCTGTAGCTTATGCTAGTAAAAGTCTGAAGAAAGAAGAAATGAACTATGGAGCTACAGAATTAGAATGTGCTGCCATAGTATGGGCCATTGAACATTTTCACAAATATCTTGGAGCAACCAAGTTTATTTTAGTTACAGACCATTATGCTCTCAAATGGTTACGTACTGCTGAACCTAAAGGAAGACTAGGCCGCTGGATACTCAAGTTACAACCTTATAACTTTGAGATTATTCATAAACCCGGACGAATACACTCCAATGTTGACGCTCTTTCACGATTGCAGACTCAGACCAAAGAACCCAAGTCCTCATGAATTTAGACCGATACCACCAATTGTACCAGTATTTAGATACAGACGAGATACCTGAAGACTTTACCAAGAATCAGACGAAACAATTAATAAACCAAGCTCGATATTTTGAGATTAGACACCATTTGCTTTATAAAAAGAATAGAAGAGACCCAGATAGACCCCTACGAGTTATTAAATGGACAGAAGTAGAACCAGTTCTCTATATGATGCATAAACACCCCACTGCTGGACACTTAGGAACAGACGCAATGTATTATAAAATTGCCGAACGATATTATTGGGACCAAATGTACCGAGACATTAAGGAATATGTACAGACATGTGAAGACTGTCAGAAAAGACAAAAAGGAAGAAGAAAAGAACCTTTACACCCGATTCAAGTCGGACGAGCCTTTGAACGAATTGGAATCGATCTAGTTGGACCATTACCTATTACAGACCAGAATAATCGTTATATTATCGTAGCAACAGACTATCTAACCCGATGGCCAGAAGCCCGTGCCGTACCAGACGCTGGAGCTGAAACCTTAGCCAAATTCATCTTTGAAGAAATAATCTGTAGACATGGAACTCCTAAGATAATTATGTCTGACCAAGGAAGGAACTTCATTAGTACAACTGTTCGAATACTATGTGAAAAGTTTCTTATCAAGCATAAGTTCTCTTCACCATACCACCCTCAAACAAATGGAATGGTTGAACGCTTGAATAGAACACTTTGTGAATCGCTCGCTAAAGTAAAAGAAACAGACGAAGATTGGGATATTCACATACCCGCTGTACTGTTAGCCTACCGAACCAAAAGACATGCTACAACTGGCTATACACCTTTCCAGTTAGTCTATGGAAGACAAGCTACTCTACCAATCGAAACGATTTTTCCTACCGAACCATTACCGGACCCTGATACAGAAATAGACTTACAAAACAGTATATTGCAACGAGCATATGATTTAATAGAAAAGCTACCCCAAGCACAAGACGAAGCTCGAATGAACACGGAACAATCACAAAAGAAACAGAAAGAATATTTTGACTCAAGAATTAGACCAGAAGAGTTCGAAATTGGTGAAAAAGTTTGGATACAAATTAAGGCTTTAGAGAAGTCACGATCCGCTAAATTTGAAGACAAAAGAGAAGGACCCTACATTATTCAAGCGAAAATGAATAATGGAGCTTATAGACTGCGAACACTAGAAGGAAAAACCTTACAAAAATATTATAATAGTGATCGACTAGCAAAGTACTACGAGAAACAAACATGGGAACCAATCATTGTGATCGAAAATTCTTAATTTCTGGAAGAAATTTTATTGGACGGGGAGAGACAAAGACAAAATTTTGCGAAACAGACAATTGTATAACTTTAAAAATTATAAATAGACACCTTATTCGGAAATTCCCTAATTTATACATAATACACAGACACTATGCACAACAATACCCTGCAACCTATAACCATCCAAGCCCTCCAATATTTCCTTACTATTTGGAGACAGGACCCCGCTGCCCAAAACAATCTGGAAATTTGTTCTTCTAATATCTTTCTGTGGAACCCTAATGACCCTAATGATACTAGTGATATTACTTCCCTAGTAAATACCGCAGTAGATACCCCAACCAACTCGGATAATATAGAAACCTTCTTGGATAATATTTTAACTGAAGAACCAGGAATCAACTTAACCGCAATCAATCTTTCACCGGATACAGACCCAGAAGTAAACCCCATTCCGGACAACACTGTTCCCAATATAGAACCAGAAACAGAAACCTTTCAGAGAGTTCAAAATGAACTTCTTCAATCTCTTACTCCTCAATCGCATAACCATCCTAACCCTTTTCTTGGTGGAACTTGGAAGGACCAATTGACCAAAATCCTTCGTCAACTAGAAGATAAAGGCCGAACTCGACCCAAACAGATAAAGGTTATCGAAGCTTATCTGCACTTAGGAATCCTTATTCAGAAACAACCAAGTGAACGACAACAAATTCGAGAATTTCTCCAAGCTTCGCAAGGCTCTCGAAAGACCCAAGACATTTGGAAAGGAGCCACTCGACTTCAACAAATCTTTAGTATTAGACCTAAAGAATTGTTGTATCAGACCCGATACCTTACCATTACTCACATTGTCAAGTTTACTGATAAAGAGTATCAGTCTTTAATTAAGAATTTGCAGAGCAAATTTTTATAAGGGGACGGAAATGTTATAGAACCGTTTATTATTTTATTAGATTAATATTCCGATATTGTATAATTATTATTGTTATTATTTTATTATTTATTTTATTATTATTACTTAGTCTTATTTAGTTATTATTAGAGTAGAATTTAGAACGCTTAACGATTAC